GGGGGGGCCATGTTTTTTTAAATGTTTGATTACAAATTTCTTGAAAAAAACATTATTTGTTTCAGAAGGGAAGCAAAAAAAATAGTTTTCATTGAAAATGTCTTTCCTATTTAGAGGCAGTTTCTTCTATAAGAAGTTGATACATAAATTTCAAGCATGTTCATTTTTTGTAAATTTTGCCTTGCTGATCATTTTAGCTGTTCAAGTTTCTCTTTGTATATTACTTTTCTCAAGATATTTGGAAAGGTGGTATTAAATTTTTTGTATTTATAAATTTGCGGCCGTATAATGGTATTACGATGTCGTCGTCCGACGACGACATTTGATTTTCAGACAATAACTTAAGTATTTTAAGTGTATGGATCTCTATCAAATTGTACCACAACGTTCCATACTACAAAAGGACGTTTGGGATTGATTTTTTGGGTTATTGGCTTAACTGTTTATGAATTAGGGGCCAAAAACGGGCCAAAAAACGGGCATTTTTCTTGTTTCAGGACAATTACTTGTGTATTAGTGTATGTTTCTCTATGAAATTGTACCACAAGGTTCCATACCAAAAAACGAAGAAAGGATTAATTTTGGGGGTTATGGCCTTAACCTTTACGGAATTAGGGACCAAAAACAATACTTTTCGAATACTGTATAAATTGCTTATTTCTTGACCAATTTCAATGGGGTTTAATTCAAAGTCTTGACTTGGGGTTCTTTTAATATGCTGAATCTAACCGTGTAATTAGATTTTTGATTTTGGGCCCCGTTTTTAAATTAGTCCGAAATTGAGGTCAAAAATTAATTTTTGTTTGATTTCATCAAAAATTGAATTATTTGGGTTCTTTGATATGCCGAATCTAATCGTGTATTTAGATTTTTTTATTTTGAGCCCTGTTTTTAAATTGGTCCACATTAAGGTCCAAAGGGTCCAAATCAAACTTTTTGTTTGATTTCATCAAAAATTGGATTATTGTGGTTCTTTGATATGCCGAACCTAGCCGTGTATTTAGATTTTTTATTTTGGGCCTCGTTTTCAAATTGGTCTACATTAAGGTTCAAAGGGTCCGAATTAAACATTGTTTGATTTCAACAAAAAATGAATTCTTGAGGTTCTTTGATATGCTGAATCTAACCATATACTTAAATTTTGGATATTGGACCATATAATAGGTAAATGTCGAATTTCAACTTTTTAAGATCTTAGACCAATTCATTATGTGTCAGAAACCTATGTTTATCCAAAATCAATATGAAAGGTGGGCTAACTATTGACATTGCTTTATTTCGTGTATTGATCACCATTTCAACTGCTTATAGTACCTACCCAATTACTCCTACAAGGATTTGGTGTAAATAGAAAGTACACGTAGGTATAGATCTTGACATTTTGCGCAGTTTTTTAATGAAAAAGTGGTTTAATAATACTATTTCCCGTTGTTTTTCAATGGAAACGATGTGCCACTGTGACCAGTATCGGCAACCTATCAATAATGAGTGGTAATCGTTAAAGGGGTCTACTCATCATTAATCATATTTAAAAATTGACCTGTCAAAATCAAAGATTGGCTCTGGTGGTATTATTTTTTACCAATCGGAACTAAATGAAGGTCTTTTGTATAGGACTTTCAATACATTATTCTTGTAAAGATTTATTAAAATTGGCTGAGTGGTTTCAGAAAAGAAGGTGAAAATGTGAAAGTTTACGGACGACGTATGCTTAATGACGAGAATAGCTCTCATAGTCTTACAGGCCTTATTACAATAACAGTTACTTTGGAAAACTGGACTTTATTTAAAAAAAGATATTTTTAACATCCCCAATTATCAAGTTTAATCATTACGGAGCTTTGTTGGTCTTGAGATGCAAAGTCCAGCGCTGGAGATGTAAAGGAAATTTATATCTACAGCGCTGGACATTACATCTACAGCGCTTGACTCTAAATCTATAGCGCTTGATTTTACTTCTCTAGCGCTTCACTTTAAAAAATAAAACACAACTCTATAGGGGTAAATTCAGTAAATAAATATACGTCATCAGGGACCCCCCATTTGGGGGAGAGCTTTCTGTATAACACTGAAGTCCTGTGCTCCTCTGATTGGTAGATACTGTTTGTAATAAATATTTTTTGGTAGATGGATCAAAATGGAGTTAAAAAAATAAGACAATGAATGCTGAATGCACTTTTTTTTTACTACAGGGTTGAAAAGTAATGGGGGTCAGTAAAGGAATTAAGTGCGAATCTACAGTGTTTGTAAACAAGGCCATGTGAATGCCCAAAAATACCGCATGACCCTGTTTTTATTGTTGCAAAAGATGGGGCTACATTTGTACTTTAATGAATGATATATGAAAGCTTCTGATTTCTAAAGGTAAACCAGGTATAAATTTAATTCAAGACATAGATTTGCATTAAAGCCAATGGGAGATTTTTTACTGAATTTACCCCTCTATCTGTACGAGACCAACAGGCCTCAGTAAACAATAAATCAATGCAGTTTTTTTTATATTCATTTAGACACCAACCTGATTAAAATACGGATCTTGTGTGTCCAAGCTTTGCTTTCCATTCTATTTTCTGTTTTAAAGACCATTTGGGATTCTCTGGTTTTGTCGGATTGATACACACCTTCAAAAATTTGAAGGCTGAAATTTCATTTGCTGATGTAATAATTACCAGAATAGAAAGTAAATTAGGATGGTGTCAGATCCTTGTAACCAAAGCTTAGACACAGGATCTGTATCTTAATCAGATTGGTTAAGCACCGACTATTCATCTTTTGTGGGCGTGAGCATGTGTATTTCCGTGTTCTCAGGACAAACATATTTTTCGACTTTAATAGAAAATAAACTTTTTTTTCAATAACAAGGTAAATTTTTTTTTTATTTCATTATTGTTTTAATTTTTCCCTCAATTTCAATGAAACAAACTATTTCTTCGCTTCCCTTCTGAAATGAATAAAGTCTTTTTCAAGAAATTTGGAATCAAACATTTAAAAAAAAAGAAAGATGAATGGTCGGTACCTTAGGCCTGTTTACAGTTCGGTTCCTTGAGTCCAGAGGTGTATATATGAGCGGCTTCCCACAAAATCTTTTATATTGCGGGTTACTGTAAATTTGAAGCACCGCCTCGGTGGCTTCAAGGTAGCGTGTTTGCCTCGAGTGCGGGAGGTCGTGGGTTCGAACCCTTGCCGGGTCAAACCAAAGACTTTAAATAAAATAATTTTATAGCGATGGTTATGAAATACTTTTTAAAATGACTGTGATTTAATTGGTGTCTTTGCAATAAAAGTTATTTATTACATTTTCGCAACTAGATCCTGTATTAATTGATCTTAATCTTCCTTCGAAATGTTTGAAAAGTTGATTTTTGTTAAATTGCACTGTCTCATTTTTTCTATAAAATGAACTTCCGGAAGCTGATACGAGGCTGGAGCTTCTAGATCAGAAACAGTAAACTGGCATTCAAAAACAAAATGCAGAATATCCTCTGGTAGATCAAATATTTGAACTCCAGGTGCTCAATACACAGTCGAGGACACATAATTTATTAACTTTAACCGTATGTTCATTATTGTAGACCCATCGATTAAACCTAAACTTAATTTGCAATTCATATATTGACAATTTTCCAACAATTATATAAGATGTGATTTAATCATCTTATAAACGAGGTACCAACGTGCCAAGGTTTATGTTTTTAAAATCTCAACCATTTTCTAAACGATAGCTACATATTTGAGCCGGGTTTATAGTAATTCCGAAGAAGCAGATCGGAATCAGTTATGACGTAGACAGTAATCGTTCTAATCGTTATCATGTTCATTGACCATAACAACGATGAAAGCACATCATATAAGGACGTTTTGACATCATACAATGAAGCACATAATATAATGACACAACCACATCATACAAAGATGTTTGCACATATTATAAGGGAAAATGCACATCAAATAAGGATAGTTGCACATCATATAAGTACATTTCCACATCAAATAATTATATCTGCACATCATATAAGGATATTTGCACATCATATAAGTATGTTTGCACATCATATATTAGTTCTAACGAGTCGTTAAAATTTCTTAATCATTCGATTAAAAATAATTATATGATTAGTGTGTTGTTCAACTGGTCGTTGATTTAAACGCGGTGTTAAAAATGCTAAAACTGTCGTTAAATTTACTCCACCTCATGAAGATAGTCAATGCGGTAAACTTTCTTGATTGAATCACCTATCATACGATTTTAAATTAAAGGCAACAGTAGTTTACCCACTGTTCAAATCTCATAAATCCATTTAGAAAATAGAAATCAATGTATAGAAATAAAAAAATGGAGGAATCGCATGAACTTCAAAATGACAAATAACGAGACCGGGTTTGTCGACAGGATAAGCGTCTCCTGCTATGTGTGCATCATTCTCATGCAAATTAAAAATCAGTGAAAATGTCACATCCAGGAATAGGACAAATTACTAAATTTACAAATCAGACAATTATTCTGTTACCTATTTATCTAAGACCGCGAAAACACGTCTATAGTGAGTTGAGACACAGAGACACAGCGTATCTGTCATATACAGTAGTAATTTATACGAACCATGCAAATGTATACTTTTAAAGTGCTATGACAAACCACCGAATCATAGTCTTTAAAAATGTAAGCATTGCAAAGAAGTACTGAAAATTTGTTAAAGATGAAGCTACAAACAAAAATTGTGAACAAACAGTCTCTTTTGATACCTAGTTCTACGTTAAATAAGAATATGAGCCGATTTATTTCCATTAGGAAAATAAGAGCATTAAAATATTTGAATGTAAAAAAAATATCTTAAATCTACAATACTTCAAATGTTCTATTCTAAACTTTGAAACTACCTTTTCGTAGGTGCATGCAATACATTAACCATTGTTAAGTATATTTTCTAAAGTATTCATTTCAAGTGGGACATTTAAAAAAACGTCTGTATGTATAGTCCAAAATATTAAGCAAGTCTTACTGGTATTTTGTAGTCCAAAATAACTTGTGCCACTGTTAAATGTTATCAGCAAATCATTTGTGTCTTCGAGGTCGCCATCAGTAGCTGTAAATGTGGACAATAAATCGCCTGCAAATACCTCGTCATTATACTTTATTATGTCGTTTAACCCTGACAATGATGGATCCTGGCCTGAAGTGAAATGTGTACAGTACTAAGCTTTAAAGTATAAAATGTTCAAAAATAAATGACCACCTTACGACAAAAAATGTCACTTCAGTGTGCCAAAATATTAGAAAATGCGAAACTTATTTAAATAATGAAAAGCTAATAAACCTTTCAGCTAGATGATACTATACTTGTTTAAGAGTCTATAAACAAACACAATTCTTACAAAAATTGATAATGATTGTTTGTGGGAAAGTCATTGGTGAATCCATATGTGATATATAATGTTTTAAATTATCGAGATTAAGTAGTAAAAAGTTGTTATGTATTCTAGTAAATCCTTTCAAGATTTAAAAAGAAAACAACATGCATATAAAAATAAGAAGATATGGTATGATTGCCAATGAGACAACTCTTCACAAGAAACCAAATGACACAGAAATAAACAGCTATAGGTCACCGTATGGCCTTCAACAATGAGTAAAAAAAGTGTATACATATCAATGAGATAAAAGTAGAACACGCATGTGGGTGCACTTACTTGGTGTAGTAATCGCTTGAATAGCACAAGCTGCATTGGAAGAACTTGCAGAAGACCAGTCATAAGGACTTTGGGATGCCATTGATGATACAACGTTGGTCAATGTTTCCTTTTTTCTGCCTCCACTTCCTTGTCCGTTGTTCTCGAGATCATGTGGTATGATGAATGTACTGCTGATTGTATGTCTAAATAAAAGAAAGTATTGTTTATCAAAAACACACACACACAGACACATATTTATTAGAAGTATGATGAACTTATAAAACATAACGATCAGGTTAATACGTCTATGGGAAGCATGCGATCCCCTATGTTCGTCTTTCAAATTTACTCAAAAATTGTCAGAGCAATTAAAAAGACGTTGAACAAGCATGTATTCCAAAAAAATTAATTGTGCTTACCAAATAAATCTTGTTTGTGATGTTGAAAATTACCATTGGATAAATATATATTCCCTTTTATTAGCTTATACCTAAAATGTTTTTTTAGATTTTCATTTTTTTTGTTGACTTGAACTAAATTATTTCTAAGTTAAACGTGTATTTCAAAATGCAGAGTTGTGATAAAAATCCTGAATCTAAGTTAAGACAGCTTTCAATAGTATAAAAATAAGGAGATGTGATATGATTGCCAATGAGACAACTATCCACCAAAGTTTAAATGAAGTGGATGTAAGCATTATAGGCAACCGTACGGCCTTCAACAATAATAAAAACCAATACCGTATAGTCGGCTATAAAAGGCCCCAACATGAAAAATATGAAATAATTCAATTGAGAAAACTAATGGCCTAAATTACAACCAAACAATTTACGAAGAAAAATATGCGACAAACACTGAAATACAGGCTCCTGACTCGGGACAGGCACATAAAGAACGTGGCGGGGTTAAACATGTTTGTGAGCGCTCAACCCTCCCCTAACAATGGACAGTGGCGTTACAGTACAACATAGGAACACACTATAAAAATCAGCTGAAAAGGGCTTAACTCATCAGATCGATACAAAGCAGAAAAACATCTAACAAAAAGTAAAATAAAAAAAATATCGAACTCCAAAGAAAATTCAAAACGAAAAGTCCTTTATCAAATGGCAAAATCATAAGCTCAAACACATCAAACGAATGGAAAACAAGTGTCATATTCCTGACTTGGTACAGGCATTTCCTTATGTAGAAAATGGTGGATTAAACCTGGTTTTATAGCTAGCTAAACCTCTCACTTGTATGACAGTCGCATAAAATTCCATTATATTGACAACAATGTGTGAACAAAACAAACAGACATAATAGGTAGAAATGTCAAAAATAGGGGTACAGCAGTCAACATTGTGTTATAATCTTACTCACTATAAAAGCAAACAAATATGTCAACAAAGAACACAGACCGGACGTGGCACGGTATTTATACATCCCTTACAACAGACACACTTGTACAGATCTGAGAGTACTCGCAGTTACTGATAGCTAGTTCAAAACCAATAACAACTAATGCAAAAAATCATTTATCTAAGACTAAAATATCAATCAGTACACATCAACATCTTTGATAGCAACCTTATTTTACGTTTTGTTTATACTTAGATAAAACATTGAAATGAACAAGATATTTGGTGGGTTAATTTTAGGTCAGGTCGAATATTAAGGGGTGTTAAGAAGGAAATGCTAAGTTGAACAATGAGGAATGTAAAGGAAAATCCCGTCTGTAATTATGATATGACCCTCAGAATCGTATATAACCAGAATAGAGTCTGCGAAGACATAAGTCTAAGGTACAGTACATGGATAATAAAGAACAGGCTTGTGCCTGTTAGAAACTAACAGACCTGTACAAATTGTACCGTATTGAACAAGTGTTATAGCTTGTAGGGTACATGTACATAAGTGCGCCATTAGAACAAGTTTTTTCCTAACCGAGGAGGAATTTGTAATTGTACAAATATGCATTTATTTTATTCGAGCGTCACTGTTGAGTCTTTTGTAGACGAAACGCTCGTTTGGGGTATAAAGTTTAATCCTAGTATCTATGACGAGGTTTTTTGCACCAGTATATATATATGAAGAAGAATAGATATAGAAAAAAAGGAAAACAACACTTTATAAATTTCATGCGTCCGAAGCACTATTCTGGATTTATCATCGCTTCAGAACGCTAAAAGACAAATATTTGAAAGCCAAGGATGTATAAGAGCTTTATGACCCCCCAAACAGATATTTCATAATAAAACGCAAAGAGCAGTCGTATATATTTTAGTTCATTGATATAATTTTATGAATAAAGTCGACGTGTTGGATAGTTTGTAAATCGAACACTTCGTATACAATATCAAACTGGTAACGGACCTTGTACATAAAATAAATAAGTTTACCCTGTGTACACGTTTTACAGTCAAAACTTTCAAATTTAAATAAATTTGAGAATGAAAACGAGGAATGTTTGAAAGAGACAACAACCCGACCAAAGAGCAGAAAACAGCCCAAGGCCACCAATGGGTCTTCAATACAGCGAGAAAATCCCGCACCCGGAGGCGGGCTTCAGCTGGACCCTAAACAAAAATGTGTACTAGTTCAGCGAAAATGGACGTCACACTATAGTCCGAAACATATAAATGAACCAAAATTAAAAAAAACATACAAGACTAACAAAGGACAGAGGTTCCTGACTTGACACAAGCGCAAAAATGCGGCGGTGTTAAACATGTTTTGTGAGATCCCAACCCTCTCCATATACCTCTAGCCAATGTAGAATAAACAAACACACAGCAATTTTCACAGTAAAACTCAGTTTAAAAGAAGTCCGACTCCGATGTTAGAATAGGTAACAGAAAAAACTAAGCAAAATGACAATGATCAACATAAATTAACAACGGACTACTAGAGTTACTGACATGCCAGCTCCAGACCCCAATTAAACTGATTGAAAGATTATGTCTTCATCATTTGAAAATCAAGCACAATCCCTCTCGTTAGGAGTTTACTAATAGTATCATACCATCATAAAATAAACGAGAAGAAGATAACCCGTATCATGCCAACAACTGGTTTTAGAATAAATGTATTTATTTCCATGTAAAGACCCTATGAGTTACTAGTAATCAATATTAATTCCAAAATATGCCATCTTTAATGACCTGACAACAGTATCGTAACAGTCTGTTTAAAGGTTTTGTTACCTTATGAGGTGAATGACGACATTTTTGTGCTTTGTATAGAATATTACAATAAAAGATTGGATCTGAAATACCTGAACGTATTAGATGTCTGCACGTTGATTTATATTTACGAATGATTTCCTTGTACCGATGTTAATATTTAGTAAATGTCTTGACAAGTTTGTGATATCGAAAACCCTGGTGTAATAATTTTTCAGTAATACAGAGATTTCTTTCGTTGAAATCAAAGACGTTGTTAAATACACGAGCGAATCGAATCAGTTGAGATATATAAACACCATAAGATGATGACAAGGGAACGTCACCATCTAAAAATAGATAATTAACAATAGGAAATGAAAATTCATCTTTTTTAATGTAAATTTTGGTATTAAGCTTTTCGTTAAAGATATAGATATCAAGATCCAGGAAAGGGCAGTGTTCATTGTTAGTATTAGCTTTATTTTAAGTCAATTCAGCAAGATAAATCTCTTTAGTGTACATACTGAAGTCGGCATTATTGAGAGCCAAGATATCATCAAAATATCTAAAATGTTATTAAATTTTTGTATCAGATGTTGTTTCGATGGGTCTTTGCTGATTATAGTCATAAATTGTAACTCGTAACAATACAGAAACAGGTCTGCAATAAGTGGTGCACAGTTAGTCCCCATTGGAAATATTTAAAACATTAGCGGTATCAATGTTGTTGTAGCAGCGAATGTCTCTTCAGTGATTTTTGAGGCCATAATTTGGAACAATATCCGTATTTCGTATTTGCATGCCAGTACTGAAATACTGCTACTGGGCTACTGATATCATAGGAACTAACAGTCCACCAGCAGAGGTACCGATCCATGTTAAACCCCTAAAAGACAAAATTAAAGTCAAACCCGGATAAAAAAATCAGGGCTATGAATGAGAAGGGGGGGGGGGGGGGGGGGGGGGGAGTTGGGGTACATTCCTTAAATTAAAAGATTTCGAAATTTTTAAGAATCAATAATAAAATCAATTGATAATTAGGTTTCAACATTATTTCAATTAAAAAAAATCGATACTTTGAACAATTTTTTTAAAACTTACAACCCAATAAGATCGTCATTGTCAACTCGAATTCTATTTCCATTTGCAATAACTTCCGACTCTTGGCTTTGGGTATCTACGAAAAGAAAGCATGTATTTCTAACGAATAAGCCTACATGAAACCACATTTAAGAAAAACATTTTTTATTTATTGGCATCATATTTATTATATTTGTTTACATATAAAAATAAGGACATGCTTCTCAAACTTGTATTCCTGTGGGAACCGACTTTGCTCCTTTTTTTTCTCATCGAATTTTTCCTTTATTCATATCAGTTATAAATGCATATAAACAGACGCAAGTCCTATCAATTGATTTTACGTTCCGCTAAAAGAATTATGTTCTGACAAAGTCAATATTTGGTGACCATCTTGATCGTAACTATCTCACTGACTTTAAAATCTAAAAAAAACCCATACATTTAAGTCTTCTTCATAACTTGATTTTCATCTAGAAATTTGCTTTGATCGATTGAGAACTGAATATTACGGTACAGATAATTATAATTTATTCTAGAAATTTAATAAGGATTACTTGTGTCAGTATTTGTAAGATTACGTATTCTGTTTATTTTAACAAGTGTACACTTCACATTTCCTGCCTTGATACATTAATGATATAAAATATTACACCGTCATTGCATCGACAATAATTATAACATTATTTACAAGCTTACTATTTGATGTTATTGTATTGTAACCAACTAATGTGTACGTATTGCCAGTGTCTTTCCGCCAAACCATGGCATCGACACTACCAGGTGAATCGGCATGAAAGTTCCATTTGCTCACATAACCACAGCAATCAAATTTAAAATCTTCATGATCCATCAACACTGCCACACCTACAAATAAGAAAAGTGATTAGTTTAAGATTTTCTTGTTCACTGTGTATATGGTTTGATGATACATTACATTTCTGCTTTCTTCGATTGGTTTTTCTATATCAAAGATAATTGTCCTTCAGTCGTTGGTGGATAGTTGTCTCATGTGCAACCATACCACTTGTCCTTATTTTTGTTTTGTTTATAAAACATCAGGTATTGTTTTGACCACAATGAGACTCCTGATAGAAACTTAATAGTACAAATGTGTGATTATTTTGATAATGTGTATCCTTAAAACATGTTTCTGTTGCCGTGTATTTCTTGTTTCATTTTACCCAATCTTAGTCAAAATATTTTCATTGCATTTAATATGTTTTTCAGTCAGTTTATGATAACTTTTGAGCAGTTTTTTTCAAGTCTTATTAATACACTCAGTCAGTTATGAAACAGTAACCAGAGGCAGTTTCGTTTACAATTTGATATTGGCTAACAAAACATTATATACTTTTACATGTTGTAGACAAACAAATTATAATGTAGATATATACACATCTTGTATGAACATGTATCTTACATCTTTTTCACCCCTGAAATTCAAAATAACAACAAGTTCTTAAATATGTTTCTATGTTCCGAATAACTTCCAGTCTAAAAGCTCATAATAGTTAACTCAAATCCGATGTACATTTACAAACCGGGTTTGTACATGAGCAACACGACGGGCGCCACATGTGGAGCAGGATCTGCTTACCTTTCTGGAGCACCAGCTGAGATCAACCCCGAATTTTGTTGGGGTTCGTGCTGCTCCGTCTTTAATTTTCTGTGGTGTGTTTTTTATACTGTTATTTGTCTTTTGGTCTGTCCTTTTTTTTTTGCCATAGCTTTGTCAGTTTATTTTCGACTTAATGAGTTTGAATGTCCCTTTGGTATATTTCGCTTAACTTTTACAGCTATCCATTTCTTTTTTTGTATTTAACTAGAAATTTTGGGTGGATTTTAAATGTCTCTTTATTTTTGATGGAAGGAATTTCAACTCTATGAAATGGCCAACCTTGTATTTCACAATCGAAACATGCATGTTTTCACTGATATCAGTAATACTAAAGACCAGTAGGGACATAGTATTTTCCACTTCCAAGTTGATATTTCTCACTTAATAGTTGACATTTCTCACATCAAAATTGACATTTCTGACTACTTAGTTGACATTTCTAACTTCCAAGTTGACATTTTTCACACTCAAGCTGACATTTCTCACTTCCTAATTTACCTTTCTCACATCAAAATTGACACTTCTCCCATCAAAAGTGACATTTCTTACATCCAAGTAGACATTTCTCGTATCCTAGTTGACATTTCTTAGTTCCAAGCTGACATTTCAGTTCCAAGTTGACATTTCTCAATTATAGGTCGACATTTATCGGTTCTAAGTTGACATTTCTCGGTTCCAAGTTGACATTTATCACTTCAAAGTTGATATTTCTCACTTCCAAGTCGACATTTCTCGTTTCCAAGTTGACATTTCTCGGTTCCAAGTGACATTTCTCACTTCTCAGTTGATATTTCTCACTTCTCAGTTGACATTTCTGATTTTCAAGTTGACATTTATCACATCAAAGTTGATATTTGTCACTTCCAAGTTGATACTTCTCGCTTCCGAGTCGATATTTCTCACTTCCATGTTGACATTTCTCGCTTCAACATTGACATTTCTCACTACCAAACTGACATTTTTCACTTCCATGTTGACACTCTAACTTTCAAGCTGATATTTCTCGAAAGCTAATGCATAATTCATCAAAATGATGGAAAACATTGGCCTATGTGCTTACTTATGATTGTTTTTGTATATAACTAGAACTTTTGGCGGGGAGTGAATGCCTTTTTGTTTTCTATAGAAGATTTGAAACTTAAAGGAATTTCAACTCTTTTTTTTAATAACATGACTAATATATTTTATTACACTCTATTGCTATTAACAATTTACTTAGTGTACATCATTGCACTAAATATTCCTGATATATAAGTAAATTGATATATTACATTACAATGTTAATGATTTCATGTTTACCGGAGTAGTTCATATCTATTCGTTAATGGTTTTCAATATTAGTTAATTTATTCAACGTGTTTGCCATCATTAGTTATGATTTGATATTCAAGATAATATGAATGTTTACGGAATAAATTTAAACAAGATGTCATATATTAACAGGTAAGTTAATTATAATCTTATTCATTTTTGTAGCATAAGTTTAAGTTTGCACTACAATTGGCTTTCTGCTATTTAGACTTTGAGGTATTAGAACTTGTTGTAAAGTTCTGTTTAAGTATACAAAATACCCAGGTAGACATGATTATTTTTACAACAAAATATACAACACAAAGTTACAAGAAAATGAAAATAAGTTTATGAATACAATATTATATTTTTTTTAAACATGTGTCTGGTGTGGGAAAGTACATATATGTAAGTCACCTGACATGCTCGAGTGATGTGACATACTTGTTGGTTGGGTAATACATAAATATATTTCAGTATATATTTAAAGTTAAAACTTTCATGATTGTTTTATGTAGTTGAGGGTTTTTGGAATTAATTTGTAATATTTTTCTTTAAATAAATGTGAAGTTGGCACATTTCTCAGAATCAAGTTTACATTCCTCATTTAAATTTTTGGTCATATATATAATAGCTCTTCAACTGTTTCAATTCTTATACATCCTTGGCTCTCAAATATTCGGCTTTGAGCGTTCTTGATGAAGGTAAATCAAGAATAGCGCTTTGGACGCTTGGAAATAATTAAATGTTGTTTCCTTTTTTTCCAAGTGAATGCTTGCATCTCTTATCACTGTGAACATGAGATTAGAGATGCTACGTATACCGAGACTAGAATGTTTGCTTCATATCTGGATCGTTTCCTTGGTATTGACAGATGGACGACTTCAATCTAGAAACTTTGACAATCGTGATGAGTTCAACTTTCCAATTGTCAAATTCCTATTTCTCCGCAATAACACACGGTATTTGCTCCATCGTATGTGGTGAACATATATCAATTCATACGTTTCGCTCATGCATGTTCACACGATACGGACTTCATTAATAGGGGTGTGATCCTGACACAAAAGCTTTTTAAACAGTGTTGTTAGTAACAACGACTGAAATCTGCACTACTAAAGTTTTACCTGGACACCATCATGCATTGGTTGACCGTAACGATGTGTATGTGTCTCAACACACTACAAACATGTTTTCTTAGATCTTTAGATACAAAAATAGTCGTCTGATCTGTAAATTATCCGATTGTGTCCTATTTTCAATTTCGAACTTCTTTGACTGAGTGTTGATTCGCATGGCGGGTGATTAATGCATAGCATGAAATGCTAACCCTGTCGACGTTTCCATTCACGCTCATTTTGGAGTTCATGCAATTCCCTCATTTTTTTGTTTATTATCTTAATTTTAATGTTTTGGAATGATTAATGAGATTTGAACATCGGTAAACTACTATTGACTCTAAATTATACTAAAATACAAAGTGTATACTAATGTTACCTGCTCCTGAATCACTGGATTGGAAATTTCGTGTTAGATCCGGCTCTCCTGTAGTTGTACAAGCCGTCGCTGGAAGTATAAGTATAAGTATCTAAATCCAAATAATTACTTGCAGTTTGGATAACCAAATGAACTTTATATAATGAGAAACCAAAAGAATTTTGTCCGAATAGGGAATCTTTGAAGTTGATAAATAACAGCTCGTTATACATACTAACCCAAAGAAAAAAGAAGGCTAAGCTAACTTTTTAGCCCCTTGAACTCTATTATAAACTTAAAATCCTTCAGATGTGTATCAGTCTGTCAGATATCTGTTTACATCTTTGAATTTTGTCATACATTTTTCCATTCGGGCTTTAAACTTCTTGCATTTAGTTTAAAACTACAAAAACTGTCTCATTTTGAGATCTTCGCATTAATTTTTATATATGAGCCAAGATATTTTGCTAAAAGATATATACTTTAAAAAACCGTTACTGGTTTAAAATATACCAGTATATTTTTATTTCATTAAAAGGGGCATTAGCTACGATTCAAACACAAATTTAAAATACAATTCTTTTTGTTTCAAGTATTGCTAAAGCGGAATTTTGAATTATATTTCGTTATAAGAAGTCAGTTTGGCCAAAATTTGTCAAAACAATAGTCGGTACTTTGGAACAGTCATGGTTTATAACAAATCTTTCTAAAATTTTCCGTTTATTAATTTAGAAACTATAAAGGTATCAACTCATTCAGGTAAAGTTTACCGTAGATGGATTTGGCTATTATCTTAAATAAACAGAAAACACAAAAAACACGAAAACATAAAAACAAAAGAAACCTAACAATAGAGTGGTGTCTATGCCATATATCATGCTCTAAATCTAGAATGAAATGTGAATAAATTTAACCAAAACTCCCAAAGATCTGTCATCAATACTTAATTTCTAAATGACAAACATAAACTATATGTGTATTACAAACGACAGCAACTGGTGAAATTCCTAACTTGGAAACAGACCATATGCATATCAAACTTCCGTATTCAGGAAAGTTGCTGATTGGTCAAAAAGGGGATCATATGATGCTGAGAATCGCAGGATGTACCAAGGGTACCCAACATTTCATTCACCAGATGATTACTAGATAAATCTGATTAAAAATTATACTAGTCTATATTTTTCGTATCAACTTGCTATTTCTCCTGTTATATCGATCTCTAATAAAACCTATTTTGTAAGGACTTGTCTATTCGCCAGGGGCCGGTTTCACGAAGCTATCCTAAGACATGTCATAAGATATATCTTAGCACATGTCTTATGACCCTCTTATGACTATCCTAGGACATATCTCAGACCTCGCCTCGAAGCTGTCTTAGGATGATCTTAGCTAAGATATCCTAAACCTGTCGCAAGTTCTTTAAATTTTTAAATATTAACATGGATTCATGGAAAAATTCATGTAAATGTATTATGTGTTTCCAATAAATTACTTAACGTATTGATTAACATTCCAGAATTAGATATTTTGTAAAATTAATATAAAGCATTAGTTTAATTTATTTAAATAATCTATTAATAATACACCAATATGCATATAGAAATTCAAATAAAAATTTGAGAAAAAAAAACCCAATAAGCTGATGATTATTTGATTTTGTACAAGTGAGTTGAATTCAAGTTTTCACTGTATCGGTTATAAAAAGGTTAAAGGATAAAATCGTGCATTTTTGATATAAATAAATCGAATGTTCATTGTTGATAAATCATTGTTGATAATCCGCCAACCTATAAAGATTTTGTTACGAGTAGAACAAGGAGATTAGATAATCAAATAATAATAACATAATTTGCAAAATAAATATAAAAAATAAGTGTAATTCATAAAAATAAACTTATGACTATCCTAAGACCATCATAAGACACCTCTCGTGTAGTCCTAACTTTATGACCAACTTTAAGAGATGTCCTAAATTTGGACCACTTTGTGAAACCCACTTAGGACTAAGATATGTCGTAAGACCATCCTAAGACATATCTTAGTCCTAAGACAGCTTTGTGAAACTGGCCCCTGGTTTTAATATAAATGTTTGATACATATGATATACTTGATCATTAATAAACAAAACTTTTTGTGAACAATATGTGATAAATATTAAAGCAGATTTTTTTGTCACTCACTTATTAGCAGATGAGCTTCTGATAATTTTATTGATTAAAAAGAAATAATTAAATGATGATTTTATTTGATATAAAGAAACATATAACTTATTCTTACCGTAAGCTTGTTTACATATAAATGTCAAAATCAAACAGGATATAACATTTTCTTTGCAGGTCATTTTGAACACACTTATGTCATGTATGATAACCACACTCAAACTAGCGACCAATTTCAGCGACCAATCAAGCTAGCAATCAATTCTAGTGACCACTTACGATCATGTCTGGTTGCATAATATGATAATAAAGACAAATGCAATGTTTAAATTCACAAAATCAAATAAAATTGCTAACAATTTCTATAGAGAAAACGTTTACCAATCAAATCGATTAAAATGTATTTTGTTTGTTTATTAAATGTCAATCATCGCTGGATATTAAAATTGGCCTGACTTGCGATTCCTTCATAATTGAAAACTTTTCATCAATCTTATAAAGAGAAGCAATCTCATATGATAGTCGTAGTTTAACTTATTTTTTGACAACAATTTACGAATAGAATAAAATATATGAAATCAAATAAATAGATATTTAAAAACCTGGCTTTTTTTTTTATAAAAAAAATATTAAAAAAGTTAAAGCCAAGCATAAAGTGGAATAATTAATTTCCTAAGAAAATACAGAATCATTCATTTTTCAAATTGTCTCAGTGGGAAGTATTTAAGACAAGGTCATCCCATGCGTTTGAATAGATTTAACCCATAATACTGTAACTTTACTCATTCTAAAACCTATTCAGTATGAATGTTGCTTCTACGTGTACTACTGATTGGTTGTTGTTTACTTAACCGTCGAGTGACAAAATTTTTATGCACTTCAATTCAATCTTTTATTAACGTCTCATCTATAGTATAAACATATATACATTTAACATACAACTTCTTTTAATATAAAATACAAAAGCCACTCAGTTAAGACATATGATAAAAGCTACCTAAGATACATTAAAAGTATATGCTATAGTAATAAACGATCAGGTGTATTAACAATATACAAACTCTGATTTTTTTTAATAAGATAGCCGGTTTTGACACAAAATCTAACTACATTGATATCTAAAAATAAAAATACCAATTTCTGACAATTATCAAAATTAATGAGATCTAGTTCAAAATAGATATTATTATAAATATAAATTATAAATTAATTTTGTAGTAGTAAAGTCTGTTTGTAATAGTAATTTATTTATTCAGATATTTATATTAATGTTATTTATAGTTAATTTTACTGAATATTCTCCCTGGATTTTTAGTGGTAAATTTAACAGGGATACATGATGGAATGTTGTACATCAAGTTTTAAACTTGAACAGCAAGATGTTCAACAAAGAATCAATTTGAGTGTTAAAAAAAAAAAAAGATCTTGTTCAAAATTTGAAACTCCGTTAAACAAGGCTTTTGTAAAATCCTGATAAAGCGGAAAATTTAAAAGAACATGGGATTCATCTTATTTATCTCCCTCCTCTACTTAAGATTTTTAATCCTACCGGTCTCTAATTGAAGTGGTGCCACGCCACATATAGAATTAGAAAAAGCACTGCGGTGACAAAATGGTATCGCAATTTTACAAAAGTGCTCGGTCTTAAATTGGGACTTAAACAAGGAATATGTACGTAGTTTCTTTCCTCCTCTATTAGTATTGGAAGAAGTTTTGTTGACACTAGTTTTCCAATCTTCTTCAAAATGTGTTTTCATTTTTGAAAAAAAAACCCACCTCATATGCATGTTCGGGACGAGATAAAATTAGCAACCAGTTTGGAGATGTGCACCGGGATGAAAAGCAATTCAAACTATCATTGGAAAGAGAGGGAATGTTGGGGAAATATTTGGCCAGTTGCAACAGGCCTCCTACGAACCAACCAAAGATTTGTTGCAAACGGTTCTCCCTCCTTACATGTGACATAGGATTAACGTCCCCTTTCCGAATTCTGTTATTCGAGGATGTTTCTCCGCCACATCTCATCTCAGGGCTGTCGCCCTTCGATGAAGCTGAGGAACACCCTCTCGTTTGAAAAATATTCAATCATCTATAAATATCAGTGTGCATACATCCTGATAATCGGTACATATCGCGCTACTCGTTCGAGATAGACAATTATCGTAAGAAACTTAGGGCGCACGTGACGTTGTCAATGTATTTTTTTTTACACCAACGACGTCATAGGCTTAATAGCGATACACAGATTATCAATGGTCTTTCAAATTCGTGGATGTTACTCGGCCACATCTCATCTCAGGACTGTCACCCTTCGATGAGATTGTAGCTGAGAAACACCCTCTCGTTTGAAAAACCATCGATAATCTATAAACCCAGTTACAATTAGAAAACTTTCCTGAAAATAACCATATGCTGCACAGTTTAAGATGTTAAATCTAGTATTTGAACAATCGATATTATTCAAATTAATAAGCATGCTTTGAATATCTTGAAGGAACTGCACAAGTAATATGCTTGGTGCAAGTTCTTTTATGTTTGTTTTCGTTTTGAATTTCGTTTATATTTGATTAAGTTGTAAAATAATATCTTCGTCATATGCAGTCGAAAGCATCATAAAGACATTGCTTAGGATTTAAATTCTGAACTAAAAGAACCATTTGCAGCTGATGTTTATAGTTTGTTTTATTATCGTACTGTTTCACCACTATCCAATTAGGTTATGGGTGGGTGGTTATGGCTCAAATATCTTTATCCTCCTAAATTTTGAACTTGAAAGAAAATCTTTTGTCATAATTTTCCAACTTTTTTAGTTTACAACAATAGCAATACTTATATAAATGACTTTACAATATATACTCCTCAACAATGTTTAAAGACATGTAGTCAACCTTTCATTTAAATCAAAGTAAGGCATGCTTTTGTTCTTTTAGCAATCGTGTTCCGATGTAAAGATTTGTTTAATAACAATTAAGACTTATTTAAATACCTACAATATATGTTTGATATATAAATATATATAATTGATATTGTAATATACAATGAAAACCAAACGGAATGAACACATATTGTCGTTTTCCTTTAGTTATATTCTTACCCTATCTTAATTATATTTATGTTTAAATATTTGATGAAAATATATACCATAGTATGTATCAGAAGTTTTAAAATAGTGTATGTAATTGACAGTAGGATATACGTTTAATAGGGCAATGTAGTAGTTAACATGCAAGAAAAGGGTGAATGAGTATGCCAGTCATAATACATGCTTCACCGATAGAGGTTATTTGAAAGGTGTAGTAACTACAGCCTTTATACAGATATACAAAATAGTGTTTATATGTGACAAAGGACAAAACATGGTCTCCACATCCCTTCCCCCTTTTCAACGGCTATCGAAATGAACGGTTTGTCTTCCAAATTGATGAAAATTATGTGCCACGAAAGAAGTATTGATTTGTTGTATTTGTTATTAGTAAGCAGCAGTATCATTTTGTTTGATTCCATGATACAATCAGTGTCAGGGTTTTGGTTGGAGGGAAGGGGGACAGAAAAAAATGCAGGATTTCAACAAAGAATAGAGAAAATGGCAGCTTCTTTCAATCTGCCATTGCAAACATGCATTTTGATCTATTTTTTCTCGTCTTATTCGATCTTCTTTGTCCGTAGTCAATTTCTGTCACGATCAAGTTTAAAAAGAGAATGTGGTTGGATTGTTTTATTCTTTATCAAAAACATTTTAAAATATGGTTTGGAAAATATATCGATCATTAAGCAAGTTGTTTTTCTATGGATATTTTATATTAGCAAGATCAGGAGAAAACTTGCATTTGGCTAAAAATCAAGTTATATTTTATCTACTTACCTTCGGACGTTGTAATTTAATAAAATGATATATTTACACATTCTTAAAAAAGTTAAATCATAAAACATGTTTACTGCGAGTACTCTCAAATCGTACTTTCTTGTTTATTTGACCTGTTGATACTAATTGTAATGCTTTTTTGTTATTCAATGTTATTCAGGGTTATATCTGGTCTTTATACCAGCTTTGATAAGTGTTTGGTATTACTATAAATTTTCACTTCTTCGTACTATGAACATCAAAATTATTTATTTTGTAAAAATATTTCCTTTCTCCATTTGAACTGTACACGTATACCTAACAACAAAATTATTTTCATTTACCTGTGTTTAAGGTAATTGCAAATGGCTGATATTTGATTCAAGCATATTGTTTTTCTTAAATTGTTTAACATTTCACAGCGGTATAACATGTTACTTTAATTATTCTTCCCTTAGTTTATTTATTTTGTATTTACATTGTATCATAGATCAAATTTATTTGTTCACTGTATGTTCACTGGTGTTAATATGTCTTTTGATTGAGTTAAGCCATTTTAATTGCTATTTTATAGTGTGTCTTTTTATGTTGTGATGTTACACTATTGTTTCAGATAAGGGTGAAGGTTTGGTACCATTAAAACGTTTAAACCAGCTGCAACTGTTTGCACCTGTCCTAAGTCAGGAATCTGATGTTCAGTAGTTGTCGTTTGTTGATGTGGTTCATAAGTGGTTTTCGTTTCTCGTTTTTTATATAGATTAGACCGTTGGTTTTCCCGTTTGAATGGTTTTACATTAGTAATTTTTGGGGCCCTTTATAGCTTGCTGTTCGGTGTGAGCCAAGGCTCCGTGTTGAAGACCGTAATAGACCTTTAATGGTTTACTTTTATAAATTTTGACTTGGATGGAGAGTTGTCTCATTGGCACTCATACCACATCTTCTTATATCTATTTACACATATTATCGTCAAAAACATCTTCTACGGTAAAAAATAAGTTTGCAGGTTTTGGTACATCTTTGTACCACATTAATATGGTTATTTGCTAAAATAAATGCAATTTTCATGAAATTCGGCCAACAACTGCAATTTCTGTACTCATAATTTAAAATCTTATGCAGTTCGTCTTTAAGATCACCGTACATGATCCTCCGTTTCAATTTTACATTCACAAACAAAACAAGTTCATTGATCTATAGAATTATCTCGAAGCGTCCTGGCTTTTAACGTTTTGGAGCAACATCTCAGCGGAACTGAAAATAATCCCTTCGATGTGATGGAATTATAAGTTTGTGTAGGTAAAGTTCTGCATCAACATTCCCTTTAAATATATTTTGTAAGTAACTTTATACCTCCATCTCAATTTCGCCTTGCGGTATCACTATGCAACTTTTCATGCCATTTCTGTTTTAAGTTGGACAGAAGTTTCCACGTCACAGCTTTTTAATATGT